TTCGCTCCTCTTGACTCTTCAGGCAAAGGCAGGCCTCCGGCTCCCTGTCTCTACGCCCTTTACTACGCCGGTTTTTGTGGCTGCCGGGTCTTTTCTGGGGCACTTTGGCTGCGGGTGCCAGCCCCACCGATCCTTCCGGCCGCGACCCGTTCTTTTCTGGCTCTCTTGAGCCCATTTCCCTTTTTGAGTCACACAACCCCTTGGTTCTCCTTGACCCATCTGGCCCATGGCAGGGACCTCCTACGCTACGCTATGGTGAGGCCTTACATCCTGGCCCATCTACTCTTTCTCTGCGCACCTGGAACTGCAATGCAACGGGGCACTCGGTAAGGAGGATCTCCTCCTATCACTCCCTCCGGGATTTGGAACTGCTCTGAAACCCATTTGTCCACGCTCGGCATCCAGGACTTCTCTCGGCGGATGCGCAGCAAAGCACATGCATCCAATCGTCAGCTTCGCCTTCTCCCGGGGGCTCCCGTCCCGCTTCGTGCTGGTTCTCAGACAGCGGGCACTTGGTCTGGAGTTCTCCAGTGCTCTAGCACTCCCGCCAGGGCACTCAACCTTCCTTGGCCTCAACAGGAGTTCACACTTGGTCGTGTTCAGCTCTCCTCTTTCTGGGTGGACAACACCTGTATCCTTGGTGCCAATCTGTATGCCTGGCCTCAGTCACCAACTTGGCCGAAGGCCAAACAGTGGACCAACGACCTGCTCTCCCACCTCACCCAACAGCTTATCTACGGCCGCTCTGGCCCTCGATTTGTGGCCGGGGATTACAATCACAGTGACGACCAACTTGCTGATCTGGACCTTTGGCGCCAAGCAGGCTGGGTGGAGATCCAGGAACTTGCCTTCAATCTTTGGGGACGTGCTCCAAGGCCTACTTTCAACGGCTCTACCTTCATTGACAAAATCTTCGTCAGCCCGGAACTGGCCCACATGATCACCAGTGTCAACAGTGCCTGGGAAGGCTCCGGTCATGCTCCCTTGTACGCCACCATCGAGGTGCCGGATCTCGCTCATCAGGTCTGGCATTGGCCTCTCCCCAACTTTGTTCCTTGGGACAACAAGGAGGCTTGGCGCGCATCCTGTGCTATGGACCACCTCAACTAACACCACATCTCGCTACAGCGAGATCGGCAAGCATTTCGAAGAGAGCCTCAGCTCCCACATCACTGAGGCTCCACATATGCTCCCCAACGCTTGTCGGGGCAGAGCGCAGCGTCTTCAACCGGAGCTGCGTCTCAACACGGCACCACTTCCCAGACCAGGCCGTCCCGGTGATCCCCAACTACGCTCAGATCTGGTCAATCGCAATGTCATTCGTTGGTACCAACAGCTCAAACGCATCCAGCACTTGGTCCACGCCACACGGGGAGGCAAAACTCACTTGGAGGCGACCCTCCATCGATCCAACACGTGGGCCTCCATCATGAACGCCAAAGGCTTCAATCCAGACTTCTCCCAATGGTGGCTCTCCCGGCCTCAGCAGCTTCAGGGCTCTCCCACGGTTCTTCCCTCGGAGACCCCTCGTCGACGCCTGGCATCGATGGCTCGACCAAATGAGTCGCCGCTGGACGTGGCATGGCCAGATTGGGGAGCCGCTGCAATCAACGACGGGATATCCTCAGGGCTGTGCTCTCAGCTGTGTGGCTATGATCGTCGTGGATCTGGCCTACCATCACTACATGCACCACTTCTCGCCCAAGATCTTGGCCACATCCTTTGTGGACAACATCGCCCTCCTGGGGCACTCGATTGGAGACTTAATCCATGGCATTGTCACCCAAGCTGTCTTCATGGACCTCTGGCAGCTGGACTTGGATCAGTCCAAAACCTTCTGCTGGGCTACGCTGGCCCCTCTTCGTGCCAGCCTCACTAAGCTGGGGCACACAGTCAGGATGCATGCGCGCGACCTTGGAGGGCAGCTCACCATGCAGGCTAAACGCCACACGGCTTCCCTGCTGGACCTCCTAAAGTCATTGGATGACGTGTGGCTACGGATCCGGAGACTTCCAGTTCCACAGGTGCTCAAGGAACAGGTCATCATTCAAGCCCTTTGGCCGAAAATCTTCCATGCCACAGGCATCAACGTGTGCCCTGACCAAGTGATCTCCAAACTCCGCACCAAGGTGTGCAAAGCACTCGGCCACGGTCTGGCAGGTGCTCAACCTGCTGTCCGCCTGACCCTGCTCAGCTCCAACCCACTTCTGGACCCGGGTCTGTACTGTCTCTGGACAACCTTCCGAGACTTCCGGCGCTTGACTTCCAAGCAGCCCTACCTGCTCTCGCTGTGGCAGGACTTCATGGTGCATTTCTCTGGCCAATTGCACCCAGGCCCTTTCAGCGTTCTCCTGAACCAGCTGGAACTCCTTAGCTGGCATCTGCATGACCCTCCCTTCGTCTCGGACCACACGGGACATCAATTCGACTTCCTCGGTCTTGCGGAAGACCAGACCAACTCTGGACGAAGACGGTGCATGGATGGCACCTCAGACTGTCCCGGACACTTGCACGGCGCAAGGACATCGATGGTCTTCTGGGTCTTGATTGGCGCCCCACTCAACTCGCACTACAACGACTTCCACCTCTTGCCCTTGCCAGCACGCAGGCCCTCGTGGAAGGCTCGTTCATGACGGGTCGATCTCAGGCCAAATTTGACCTTACCAAAGATGGGAGCTGCTCCTTCTGTTCGGGCCCCGACACCATTGAACATTGGTGCCTGCATTGTCCAAGGCTTCAACCGGTTCTGCACCGGCATGCCGACGTACGGCGGCGTTGGCATGCCCTTCCCTCGTGCATGACAGAGCATCTACTCTGTCCAGCCAATCCCTTTCACCAGCAGCTGCTCCATCAGCTCTGGATTCAGCCTCAGACCGCCTTGCACGCACACCCCTCTGCTCTTCCTCCCCACCTCGACTTCTTCACCGATGGTTCCTGTTACCAACCCCATCACCCGATGTTGGCATTAGCAGGATGGGCGGCTTCGTTGGCCTTCACCAACTTTGATTTGGCGGGCCCACTGATTGGCCACCCTCAGACTATCAGTCGAGCGGAACTCACGGCTGTGCTTCAGGTATTGCGCTGGTCAAACGTGCATGCTATCGCCTCACCGATCTCCATTTGGACGGACTCTGCCTATGTGGCCTTGGGGGTCAATGCTTTGCTTCACTGTTTGGAACCTCACGAACCCGGAGCCAATTGCGACCTTTGGGCCGATATTGAGAACGCCCTGTCGGCTCATGAGGCGACGATTCAGATACAGCATGTTGCGGCGCATGGAGATTCGACGGTCAGCCTCAACCCGGTATCGGACTGGATCGTCGATCACAACAACCGTGTCGACCTTCGGGCTAAGCAGGCAGCCTGGCAACGCAATATGCAGTTTTTGCAGAGCCACTCGCAGTACCATCAGCATGACCTTCAAGTTTGTCAGGACATTCAGACACTTGTTTCCCTGCATGTGGACGTTGCATCGGCACGCGCACAGTTGTTGGCCACCCCACTGGAGTTGGACCCCGAGCTTGAGACTGAATCGCCTCCGCAATGTGTGATTCCCTGGCTCCATGATTCCTACTGGTTGGACGATCTACCAATTGCCTGGAGCAGCCTTTTGCAGGAAAGCCCGATTATGGCACCCTTTGACCCGCCCTTCTTTTTGACTTTGATGCAGTGGTTGCTTTCGATCGATACAGTTGGTGCGGGCCTTGCAGCCGTTAGTTGGATTGAGCTGGCCTTTTTGGTGAAACAGGCCAACTTCGCGCCTTTGCCGGTACCTGCACCTGGTTTACAAGAGAGGTGGGACAATGGTTCATCCCGGCACCATGGCATGACCCTTGCATCCTGTGTGCGCTACCTGCAACGTGGATTCCGCGCAGCGATGCGGGTTTTGAACGTTCCCGTGCCTAGTGTGACTCTGGTGCATCTCGCACCCATTGGAATTCATATGCCTGTCAAAGGCCTTCATCTTCGCCTTGCGGAACACCATCTTGTACAGGTGCACCATTTGATCTTGGCGTTCACTGCCACTAGGCGAATCAGGTCTACCAATGACCTGTCCAGACCTTTTTGAGGACATGAGACCGCTGCGTGCCGCACCGCCTTGTTGCTGTGCGCGCGCTTGAACCGGAGTGAATGAATGGTTTCCACTTACCAGGGTTCCATTTTGGGTATCGTTTTTTTGAGCCACAGCCACTTGGCCCTAGAAATTCATGCCATTGGTCTTGTCCCAGAAACTGTCCCAATCACACCCAATCTATTTGCAAGTCTTGGGACCGTTTTTGTCTACGTAAAGGAGCCCCTTTCGGCTTGTGAAGAAGCCATCTAAACGGGGGAGGTTCGCATCTCGATAGCCTTGGTCTTGGGAACCTTGGGAACCTTCAACGCACAGGAAACCTGACTCACCCTTTGGCGGGTTCCATGTTGTGACCCCAAGATGGACTAACACCCAGAAAACGCCATGGGGAAATGAACGGGTTTAAGTCTCCCTTGGGGTCAATCACCAGAACGAGGGCAAAAAGAGAAATCCGAACCCCCAGTGTCCCGGGCCCCGGTGCCTTGAGGTCAGGACAGGGGGGCGTGAAGCCCTGAGCTCCCTGTCAAACAGACACTTTGGACCTCTTTGGCCAATTCACTCAGAAAGGGCGGAACTGATGCGAAGAGCAGCGAACCACGTGCATGATATATTTTGTTCGCAGCCATTTGGCCGGCCGGCGCGGCTTCGGCTGAGAAGCAGGGTTTGGCCACATTTGTTGAACCAGTCCCCGGCTCGCTTCAAAGGGAGAAAGAAGGTACTGTAGTCGAAGCCAGATGGTCTTGTTTTGCAAATACCCTTTATGTTTGGTTCCTTGAAGGGAAACCAACAAATCAGCAACCGCATTTTTTTTTTTTTTGGGGGGGGGGGGGCGGGGGTCCAAGTCCTTAAAACAAACCAGAAGCACCTTGGTTTGCCGAACCCCTGGCGCCCCTCAGCGCCGCCCCTCACGCCCTCCTGGCGACTCCAGGCGCCAGTGGCCAGTGCTTTGTCCACGGAGGGCGTGGCCAACCACCCCAAGACCCGGGCTGAGAGGCGACGGGGAGCGGCTTCTCGTCGTCGAGACCTTCGGTTCCCGGTTTTCCCGTGGTTTTGACGTGATCCAAACGAAGGCATCTTTAAAGATTATAAGAGAGCGTGTTTTGCCTGTTTCCTGTCAACTTTGTGTTTTGGAGGAGCTGTCCCTTTGTTTGAAACGAACCAAAAGAGACAATGGTTTCATCCCTTTCAACTTTGTTTTGGTTGGGATGAGGAGATTTTTGTAAAGATAAGCTGCACCAAAAAGGGTGCCTTTGTTTTCCTCTCCACTGGAGGTCAGGGTCGATGTTGCCGCTGGTTGAGATTTCGAGGACCCACTGTGACCTGGACGTCTAATGAACGTGTCCTTAAAATCTTAAGAAAAGATTCGGCTTTTGGACGGCGCTTAGAGTGGAACGAGGCCCTTCGCTCGAACGCCATTCCGGACCCACTGCCCAATCTCAGATGTGTCAAGTGGTCACCCCTTGGACCTCCTTATGTTATGTTCCTACTTCGACTTCATTGTCACTTGTGTCAAAATAAGCTCAGGTGATATCCCCAACAGCATGCTGTGCTCTTTTTAGTGATCGCACCAACTCGCAGCCCTCGTGGAACCCTGGTGGCACCCTGGTGAAACCCTCGTGGAACCTTACCTCAGGGCCGCCCCGGACCACCCCGGAGCCTATCTGGGCTGAGACCCCAAAGCTTTCAGCTGTTGGGGAAAAATGTGGACCCCCAAAGAAAGTTGGTTTTCCCGCGGAGGAAACAACATTTCAAGCACCAGGGCCATGTCCATGTTTTGAGTAGGCACCCGTAGCATAAGGGCCTAGAACATGTGAGTAACAGTCATGAAACTGCATTTGTGGCCTACCCGCTTCCTGAAACATCCAACTGCCAACTGGTTGCTACTATAACAATCATGACACTAATCATCATGACAATAATATAGCCCTTCACATGGCTGACAAACTTTAATGGGAACCACCTTAAAAGTGGTCGGTGGACAATTTCATCCCCACCTGAATGATGTCCACCCCTGTTGAAATTCACACCCATGTGGTTTCGCTCTTCTTTTAAGCAAAGAAGAGCTATGCTCAGAATGACCTGGGTACGGTTCCTTATCTGCGGAGGCTGGAGGCTCAGACTTTGCGCTTCGAGCGGGAGGCGGCGGAGGCGGAGGAAGAGGCGGGAAGGTTCAGCTGGATGCGTCGAAGACCCATTTGGGTCCCCCGCTAATGGGAATTTCAAAGTGGAATCCTCGAAAAAAGTGGGTGGATGAGTTTTTGTTTTTGAGGGTCCCTTTACCCACCAATGGGAATTCGGCCGTTTGCTTTCACCCAATGACAAGCTTGATGGTTCTCAGACAGGATATGGGGTTTAGGAAAGAAGCGTTTGGGATTCCTTAGGAACCCACAAGGCACATTGGATGTGCCACCTGATTGTTACTCACTACAATGACGCTCTCCATTGACCTGAGATCCAATCCATGTAGGTCGTCCGGATCGATCACTTTTTTTCGGGGGTTGGGGCCCTTGGGAGTTGCTGCCTCCCATCTTAATCCATAGGGGAAAACAAAACTCAGATCATTGGTTGGCAGACTTTGGTTTTGGCGGAAAGCTTCCAATTTCCACTTCCATTGATTGTTGGAAAGAGGGCACCTTCAGCGTTGAGACATTGTTTGGCCTTGCCTGACCCTATCAAGCGTTGTCAACTTTGGAGTCTTTGGGTCTTTATTCGCCAGGAATTGTAGGCACTTGCCGTGGACGGGCAAAAGCCTGCACCAGTTGGGATGGAACACCTGCAACTAATTACTTGGACGATTTTACCTACCAGGTGCAGGATTTCTTCCATCCACAGTGTGCCTTCCCTCTTTGCCTCTCTCTCTCTCTCTCTCTCTCTCTCTCTCTTTCTCTCTCTCTCTGTCTCACTCTCTCTCTCTCTCTCTCTTTCGTTAAAATACGTTGGTACTTTACTGCAAGTGCAAGTGTTGTTTCTGTTGTCACAAACACAAATGTAGTTAGCCAGCATGCACTCTTTTCCTGGTAGACTCAAGGCCTGCAGTCGGGTAGTGTACATCATGCATGCACAAGTGACAAGTAGTGCAACATGATATTTGACACGGCCCCTTGGTTAAAAGACCTTGTAGTGTCCTTTAACCATAGACCCAAAAGGTGGTATTGACAGTAGTGGCAAAAACGAATGCACATGTTGTTTGCCGATGCTACTGTAGCGAACAGGCATGTAGTCTCTTAAAAAAGATGACCGAAGGTAGGTATCCACAGCGCTGCTGTCTGTAGTTCAACTAACCTTCAAATGATCATAAAGTGAAATTGCTGTACAAGAACCCTAAATGGCTCTCAGTCATCTCGTAGTACCATGACGTAGTGCAGCACGTAGTTGCAGCTCCACCTAGAAATCAGGTGTGCTTAGTCCAGTGTTGGACTCGGTAGTTCTGGACTTGGCTGATGCGGTAGTCCAAGCCTGCATAGTGGTTGGTAGTGAATGTGTTGAGGAAGTCTGGACCGCCACGGAGGCGGTTGTAGTCGCATTCTGGTGGTGCAAGTGCTTGGCCGGTTGTAGTGAGGTAGTTGCGGAGTAGTAGTTTGTGTTGTGTGGAAAGATTTGTAGCCGTGAGGAGGGTGATGCCGTAGTAGGTGACACTTTTGTGTAGCATCGTGTTGATGGACTTGTAGTGGTGGTCTTGAAGTTGTTGTGGTTGGTCGAAGTAGTTGAGTAGTTCTGGTAGGTACAGGGGCATGTGGTAGTTCCAAATGAAGTTGTTGGACAGGTTGAATGTAGTGGTGATCTGGTCCAAGTTGTAGGTGATTCGGTGTAGTCGTTGATGTAGCTGGCGTGTAGGTAGGTGGTGCTCGTCTTTGATTGAGATCATGTGGCTCACGTAGTCGCGGCAGAAGTTGATGAGTTGTCCAGCACTGACAAATCGTAGTAGAACTTCTGGTGGAATGTGTAGTTGGATGATGACCATCGAGTTGGTGTACTGAGTTGTGAGGTGTAGTGATGTTAGGTTGTAGTAGTAGAAGTTGACTGCCTCTGAAAGACGTAGGTGAAGAGGTAGTGAGTCGTAGTGTGGCATCCGTAGGTCTGAAGGTAGGTCGTGAACTGGTAGGTTGTAGTTGAGCTCGGGGATGGGTGTAGTTTATTGTTGACTTAGTAGTTGGAACTTCTCGAGCGTCAAAGCCACGTAGACCCTGAAGTAGTTCTTCTCCGGGTCGATTGCTGGAGTGTCAGGGATGTTGTTCTCAATTGTAGTGAGGTGTGCCAAGATGTCGTCGGGTCTGTAGAAAGGTGCCGGTGTGGGTAGTTGGTGATTGAAGTTGTAGTTGAGGGAGTTGTAGGCCTCAGGTGGTGGTGTGGCCAAAGTAGCCATGCTGCTGGAGTCGGTAGTGCCCTGCCGATCCGGTGGTGTGACAACACGGTCCGGTGTAGTACTGCCAGCCTGTTGTTCGACGGGCAGAGTAGTCTCTGGCGCTGATGTAGTAACCTCCATCGGCATGACATCCAGCGTAGTCGCATCCATGGGCGTAGTTCCAGCCATTGCTGGTAGTTCGGCCTATCGAGATGCAGTGAAACGGGGCAGACAGTAGTGAGCCAATGTTAGCTCACAAAAGCACATGCGGGCATGTAGTAAAACACAAAACAACATGTAGTGTTGACTCAAGCCGCCAAAAGCCGCCAAAAGTGCAAGTGCAAATTACTGTTGGTTACAATTACTATTACTTGTAGTCACTGTTACTGTTACTGTTACTTAAATGCAGGTAGTTACACATGGCCTTATACAAACTGTTGTGGTTGATGCGCAACAGTTGTGAAACAGTTGTTGTTCGTAGTGCTAAACACGTATGCCAATGCTCTGTATGAGCCTCTGTAGTGTTTCTTTGCTAATGTATTTTGTGAACAAGTCTGAGCTGTTGTGTAGTGTGTTGATTTTGAGGATTCTGATGATGTCGTGCTTGATGAGGTCTTGTGTGTAGAGAAATTTAAGGTCGATGTGTTTTGCTCGTTTGCTAGTGCCTTGTCGTGTAGCAATGCTCTTGCCTGCTGTGGAGTCTGTGTGGGTGCGTAGATTTAGCTTGCTGCAAATGTTGGTTTCAAGTAGGAAGTTTCTGAGGTGTAGTCCCTCATTAACTCCTGTGCAAATGGCGTAGAGTTCAGACTCTGCTGAGCTGAGTGCTATTGTAGCTTGTGTTCTGCTGCCAAATGCAACTGTTGTTCCTAAAAAGATGATGTTGAAACCTGAAGTTGATTTCCTGGTAGTAGGGCATCCTGCCCAGTCGGCATCGACATGAACGTCGAGATCCAGGATGTTGTTGGTGTTTGCTCTGAGTGTTGTTGTTGGTTCTATGGTGAATTTGTAGTGCTTGGTGCCGTGCAAGTAGCGTAGTAGATGTTTGACTCTCTTTTGTGAAAGTTCTGTAGGTGCTGTGAGGTCTCGTGCTAGTTCTTTTGTGGAGTATGCAATGTCTGGTCGTGTGTATGCTAACCATTGTAGTTTGCCAACAATCCTTCTGTACCTTTTGTGTTGTTCGTGGTCAAGTAGTGCTTCATCTTCTATTGTTGGTTTGTAGTGTGCAATTCCTGGAGTGTTCACTGAGTTGCAGTTGTTCATTCCAGACTCCTCGATCATGTTGTCGATGTAGGAGTCCTTTAGTCCCAGGTTGCAGTAGTTGCCAAAGTGGTCGATGTTTCTTCCAAGAAATTGTTGTGGTTTGCCAGGTTCGAGGTAGCCGATGTGCTTGAGTAGGACCTGCTTTTGGATGGCCTCGAAGGTGGAGTCGACAGTAGTCTTGTCACCAAGTACCAAGAGATCATCCACGTAGACCATGATGTAGCAGTCGCGAGTCGCGTTTTTGTAACACTTCAGCCAGGTGGTCCTGCCATGCTTTTGGTGAACTGCGTAGTCCATACATGGCTTTCTTTAGTCGCCAGATTTTGTCCTGTTGTGGACAAAGTTCTTTAGGTGGCCAAAGGTAGACGTCACGTTGTTTACTGTCGTGGTCTTTTGCAATGGGTGCGTGTAGAAATGCTGTAGAGACGTCACCTAGTCGCGCTATCCAGTTTGGTCGTGACATTTGTAGTGCGAGAAGTGTCCGGAGTGTCGTGAACATTGCTGTAGAGGCGTAGACGGAGTCTTCGTCCTCGATCTTCTCGGTGTAGCCTGTGTACCCATCTTGTAGGTATCGCTTCTCTGATGACGTTGTCGTCGACGGTAGACGCATCTACTTCGTCGTAGACGTCATGTAGCTTCATTTGATTCGACTCGTGTTTCATTCCTTCCAGTAGTTGTGTTTCGTCGTAACCTTCGTTGTCGAAGATTATGGGTTGGTCTTCTGAGGTGTCGTCGTTTGTGTAGGGTGTGATGAATTTGCTGTTGGGAAGTGTCACTGCGTTAATTTTCTGTCGTAGTGGTGGTGGTTCTTTGGTTGCTTGCTCCGTTGATCTGATTGTAGTGTCCTTTGAGGTCTTCTGTGCTTTGGTGGGTTGCATTACTTCTTCCGGAGTTAAACGTCGTAGTGTTTGTCGAGGTGGTGCTGGTAGTGGTGGATGTTGTCGTCCGGTTGGTGAAGTAGCCATCGGACTACCCGGTAGTGGTCGTGAACTTGACGTCGATGTTGACGGAAGTCGTGGAGGTGGTGTGGTGCGTTGTTGTTTTGTTGCGGGTTCCGCAACGATGTCGTCCGTAGCGTTCGTTTGTTGTCCGAAATCTTGCGTGGACCTTCTTTTCTCTGACGGTGGTAGTTGCGCATCCAACAGTGTTGCGAAGGATGGGTTGTAGGTGTTCCGTCGTGGTGCCGACGGTGTGCCTGAAACTTTGTTCAATAGTGCGAGGTCGTATTTGAAGTCCGGCTGTAGTCTCCGCACTGTTCGTACCTTTTGTACGCCTGATTCTGTTGCGACGTAGTTTTCTCCGGTTTCGGAAACTTTTCCGAGCCAGATGCATTTCTGCATCCGTAGGTCTGCTTTTGGGAGTTTCTTGTGTTGTGGTGGAAGGTAGAGTAGTGTCTCGCCAAATTCGCAGATTGCTCGCTCGTAGTTTCTTCCCCAGCGGCGTTCAAAGCTTGTGTAGCCGTCTGAGTGGATGACGTAGCGATTTACCGTCCATGCTGCATGTCGTACTATCCAAGGTAGTAGACAGTGCTTTGTGGACATCGTCATGCTGTAGTTGC